GTGTGTGTGTGTGTGTGTGTGTCTCAGTTTCTTCAGGACATTCTGGACACCTTGTTCTCCATCTTGGATGACAACACAGACAAATATGGGCCGCTGGTTTTTCAGTCATTGGTGAGTGTGGCGTAGGGCTGGGTATCGTCACTGATTTCTAGAATCGATTCCATTCGATTCAATTCTATTCGATTTGATTTGATTTGAATCTGGGAAATTTGCCTATAAAAAGGAAGCTGACACTCGCCAGACTTTATCAAAGGTGTGAGCATCACAGCGAGGCCTTTGTGTCAAAGCAGCTGAAGATAAAACAGAAAAACATGAAGCTGATTTTCCTGTTCTGGGATTTTATAAAAATATTCTGCAGTCGATCAAAAACGAAAGAAAACCATTAATCAACACATGAACATCACCTCTGAAGTCACAGCGGTTTGATTAGAGACACAGAGTTTTGCATTTTGCATAATTTTAGTTTATATTTGTTCAGAAGCCTGTTGAACGGCAGAAATTAGGTTTTCTTTTTGGAAGTAAGAAAAAGGAAAAAAAACAGAGGCCAACAGCCTGTAAATAACGGTAGACTTGTGCCTAACAAGCAAGTGAATAATGCAGAAAACAGATTTTTAGATGGGAAACTGTTCTTGAAGTAGAGAGAGAGAGAGAGAGAGAGAGCTGTGCATGAAGTGTGATTTTATCCTGGTGGAAGCAAAACAGCAAAAGTCAGAGTGAATCCATGACGATGTTCATGTGAAGCGTAGTTTGGATCTTCTTTTGCTGCTGGTTCAGTCAATATTGTTAGGAGAGAGATCAAACCTGCAGCTTCAGAATCATCACAAAAAGGACATAAACACAAAGCTCGACCCGCTGAAACATCAGGATCAGCGAGCTGTCGGCTTTCAGCCCCGACCGTGTCCGTGCCGTCGGGTGAGAAAGGCGACATCTCACTGATTCTGATCCGCGGGTCGGCGCTTTGTGTTTACATCTTTGTGCAGAGTCCGTGTTCCTGCTCTCATTTACTGTTTTAGCTGTTTGGTGGTTGTTGAAATTTTGTGAGGTTTAACCTGAGATTCTGGCGTTTCGGGCAAAATAAATTTATAATAAAAAATCGATTCAGGATTTTAATGAATCGATATCACGTTATCCAAGCCAGAATCGATTTTAATCGATAAATCGATTATCAAAACCCGCCCCTAGTGTAGCGCGGGCAGTGCACGAAGAAGAAAATAAAGTAAACAAACAAAAGTGACAAATAATGAGTTTCATTAAATTTAATAATGAGGATTTAGAGACTTTCAGAAGAAACAATCTAATACAGATGAGGCTAACTGTCAGTTTCAGTCCCACTGATGTCATCCTCTGAGTTACTGGAAACAGGAGCTCTGACACCCTAAACTCTGAAAGCTGAAAGATTTTTCTACTCTAATTTCAGTATGACTGTGAAACAGGAATAAGAGTTACAGTTAAATTTGGAAAATGTGAGTGAGTGATGAAAGAAGGTTACGCTGTAACAGGAAAATAAAATACTGTGGGGTCATGATCACATGATCACAAAGAAAGCACTAAAATATAAACAATAACCTGGTGCCTGCACATCTGTAAATACAAGCTGAACAACAACATATGAAAAGCTCTGTCCAATCAGAAGCTTCAGCAGGACAATGATCCCAAGCACAGCAGCAGACTGTCGATGACGATGAGAGAGATGAAGTTATTGCTGCATCATGGGATGGACTTTCACACACTGCCTCTGCACTGTGGCTCAGTTTGTGTTTGATAAGTAATGACATGGTATAAAATGCTATGTGTTCAGGTTCCTCTGAGCTTCTATTTGCCTGCTCTTAACATGAGGATAGCTAAACCCTTCGCTTTGAAAGAGGCCGTACTTTTTTTTTCACTGTGATGATTCATTTTCTGTGCATTTGCGCGTCACTCAAGCATCACGCTCACTGATCACAGTCTCTGTCTCACAGGTGTTCATTATAAACCTGCTCAGGGACAGTAAATACTACCACTTCAGGTCGGTGATGGACACTTACATCCAGAAGCACTTTGCTGGAGCGTTAGCTTACAAGTGAGTGTTGCTCTCTAACTGACAGCCTGACTGATTAAAGTGTGATTGTATATTTGTGTACACGTCGTTTGCCTTTATTGCAGTTTGACTTCTCCTGGAATTATTTCACCACGGTGGCTCAGGGGCATCAGAGATAAATACAGTATGGAAAACTGGCGTAGGATTGCATGCTTTTCATGCTCATTTAACTTTGACCTCATCCAGATATATTACATGAGAATTGCTTTGAGTAAGAGTCTGAAAATTTGTTTTGCACTGACTAAATATTTTATAGAGGATGAAACAAAGATCTCGATCTCGGGTCGACTGGCAGAAAATAAAAAAGACACATATAGTTATTATAACTACACAAATTTTAGTTTTTCAGGTCTTTGTGATGTATTTCCGTACATGTTTGGTCCTGCAGAGTGCTGCGACTATCACAACAAAAGG